CCCCAACCAGCCCACTGTGTGTGATAGGGTGCTTTGCGGAACAGTTTCTGCCAAGTTGGTTCCCATGTGGTGTTTGTTGGTCACAGCTAATTATTAAGTCCTTGGTGGCGGCAGCAGACATTGTTTCCCTGGATCCTGCCTTCCTTCTTCCCCTCACCCCCCACGGCTACAGAACAGAACCCATTGTGGGCGCTGGGGGTTGGCTGAACACAAATTTTCCAGGGAACCCCTGATGGGCTCAGTGCTGGGGTTTTGTGTTTCGGGCTGAAACTCAACTGGATAAAGCGTTATTCATTGATGCTGACATGCTCGGTCTCTGCTCTGTGCACTTCCCTCTCCCACGCTGGACCGGGTCCCTTACAGGCCATTTAGGTAATTCATCGAGAGCAATTCACAGCATTTACTCAGCACATTGATAGTCTGTGCGGAATTGCAGAATGCTAGGATTTCCAGATCACAGAGACATCATCAAGGGCCAGATTTTGCCAGCTGTGCTCAGAAGCGTGGGTCAGAAAGGAGGAGCAGCTGAGCGAGCAAGCTGGTTCCGAGCCCTCCTCCCCGTCCCCGGGTGAGAGCGCCCCTGCGTGCTCCTGCTTTGGGCATGGAGCCTCTGCGTGAGATTTCTGTGACCCCAAAAGCAATCTGGAAATCCAGTGATGGAGTCCATCCCCTCATTCGTTTATCGGGTGAAGAAACTGCCCCACTGAGGGTCCTTCTCTTATCTAAGGTCCGTGTGAGTCAGTGAGTTGATGCCAGGGTGAGTTAGCACACGGGTCTCCCCACTTCCCTGTGCCCCATTTATTACACATGCTGGGATGATTCTGGAACCCATCAGTGGGCTGCCTTTCCCCTTGCCTGGCCACTGTCTCATGGAAAAGGATTTACCTGGAGGATCGAGAGGGGCAGAAAGCATCCCAGAAAAGCCCTAACAGCATTGTCGAGGTCACTCTCCGTTTTTACCAAGGGCCAGCTTGATTACGCAATGCCGCAGCCCCCTCTGAAGCTGTGCAGTGCACAGCCTGAGAGACTGTAGCCCTGGTTTCCACTTAGGTGTATGAAAGCCAAAACCAAAACTGGGCCAGAGGCTTTAGTTCAGCGTCATGCAGAGGAAGAACACAGGCTTTGAAGCCGGCCGATCTGGGTTCAGATCTTGGTTCCACCACTTACCAGTCCTGGGAGCATGAACAAGCTGGTCCATAGCGCTGACTTCAGGCTTTTTATCTGAAAATAGAGCTGATGGTATCTAACGCAAGACTGTCTTGAGGAATTAAGTGTTATAGTCTGTGTAGAACCCTATGTAAAGCTTATCAAGGACTTGACAAAGGTCCCTTTTCCTATAACTCAACCTCTCTCTTGCTCTCATACACATGCAGGTTTGAGTCAAAATAAGAAACCAAACATTTTTAAAGTTTACCCATAGCTTGCAAACTTCTGGATTTCGTCACAAGCTTAACATTAACCAAATTAAATTTGTGGTGCCTGTAGACCATGGGCCTGTCTTAATCTTTCGCAGAGCACTTATAAAACTGAGCATTTCCTGGGGGAATAGGACTGTGGGTTCCCAGAGAAAACTCTGTGAGGGGAACTGGACAGGCTGAAAGAATTAAGTCCTGTGGCTTTGACTCTGGAAGCCCCTGGGATGTCCTGGGCCTTGGGAGACGACGGCCCGGACAGACTCTGGCAGTGCAGTCAGACCCCTCATTGTCCCGGCTCCCTGGGTGTGCTCCGACTCTCAAACCGTCCTTTATTCGATGTTCAGACAGAAACCATAGGCCCAGAAGCTTGTTTTCAAAATCTAGGAAAACAGATGTTTTTGCTTATTTTTCTCTCCCTCACGCCAGAAAGCTCACTGACTTTTCATGGGTTCTGAGCCAATTTTTTTTTTTTCTTTTTACTTTTAAGACAAGTCTTGGAAAAATAGTCATTGTAAAATGAGGGGGCAGGACAGGCATCCCAGACTAGGAAAGCCCTATTTTAGACTCGAATGAAAATGTCTAAGAACCTGAAGGCAGGGAGTCCTGGAGTGGGCAGGAATGAGGGGGAGGGACGAAGGAGTCTGCGGGAGTCTGCCTGGCGTTTTCCCAGGCCTGCCATGCCTGGTGCCCCCCACAGGCTGCTGAGAAGCCAGCTGTGTGGCCGTGGAAGGGCTGTGTCGATGGCATGGGTGCCGTGTACCAAGCAAGGCCCAGGCCACTCACAGGCCCTGAGTATTATAGCCAGCACAGACGTCTTAGCTGCTGAATTAATTTCTATTGCTGCTGTAACCGAACACCACAAATTTAGTGGCTTAAAACAACACATCTTTATTACCTTACAACGTGTTGGTCAGAAGCCCAACTTGGTCTCACCCGGCTAAGATCCAGGTGTTGGCAGGGCCGCATTCCTTTCTGGAGGGTCCATGAGAGATTTCACTTTCTCTCCTTCCCTTTTCCAGCTGCTCAAGGCAGCCCGCATTCCTTGGCTCGTGCTCCTCTTCCTTCACTTTCAAAGCCGGCTACAGCAGATTGAGTCCTTCCCACATGGCATCACGGCCATCTCTTCTGCCCCCCCTCCCCTCCTGGGGACCCATGTGATTATGTTGGGCCCACCTGGATAATCCAGGATAATCTCCCTGTTTTAAGGTCAGCTGCTTACCTCCTGAGCTCTGTGCATCCTTGGTTCCCCTTTGCCACATAAGATAATATATGTTCCAGGATTAGGACATGGACATCTTTGGGGGAGGGGACACATTATTGCCTATCATAAATACAGAGGTCATTTTCACACTAAATAATTTTGACTCAGTTGCAGAAACAGGGTCTAACTCAAGCTAATAAAAAGAAAAGGATTTTATTGGCTTATATACTTGGAAAGAAAAGTGCGTTTGGCTTCAGGCAGAGCTGGATCCAGGTGTCCAACAAGGTCATCAGGGCCCTCCATTTCTCTGCTCAGCTTTCTTTGTGCTGGTTTGGTTCCCAGGCACCGGCTGTCTGCACGGTGGCTGGGACAGCTCCCAGGCACTCGACGCTTACAGAGTCCTCCAAACCCAGGATCCCAGAGAGGGATCCATGACGTCTTTTTGGAGAGCACCAGCAAAATCCTGAGCATTGCTTGGGTCGCACGCACATCCCTGGACCAGTCCCTGTTCAGGGAGATACTAGAACAGGAGGAGTCGCCTTTGCAGAGCCCTGTGCACCGAGTGGGGAGGGAGAGGCTCTCCAGAGGAAATTCAGAAGGGGGAGGAGCCAGGCCGGCCAAACCCCTGGGGTCCACCCCACCCTCTTGTTGCTGGATTTCAGAACCATGCAGCTGATACGTTACCCTGTTCAGAGCTCATTTGGCTTCAGGCAACGAGACACTCAGACTTGAAAGAGAACAGGAGAGGCTCAGCCAGAGCAGGTGGTCAGACAACTCAGGAAGCCTGTCTCAGAGAAGAGGGGCTGCGTGGTGGTCGGGAGCATCGGTGTGTGAACCAGACTGCTCGAGTCATATCCAGGTTGTTGGTGGTGTTTACTTGACCTCTCTGTGCCTCAGTTTCCTCCTCTGTAAAATGGGGTTGGCAGCAGTCCCCACCTCGTGTGTTTGTTGTGTTGATACAAATAAAGTGTAGGATGGTCCTCGATGCCGACTGAGCACTCACTGCCTGATCGCTTTGACGATGGTTGGTGTCGCTAAGGAAGCCCCAGAGGCTGGCTCAGGGACCTGGAAGGTGGTTGGGATCCAGTCAGTACTTTCATTTGTGTCTTTTTCTAGCTGGGGCCACGCCGTCTCTTATCTCTGGAACGTTCTCTCTCAGCCACCTCAGTGGGACCTGAGGTTCTCACCTGTAAGGTGGATTTTTCATGGGGTTTTCAGTGGACATCCTCTCACCTCTGGCCTCGACGTACGTGTCCACCCCCAAGGGAACATGGGGTCGCTGTTCCTGAGGCCAGAGACTTGAGAGCTGGGCTGTAAGTGACAGCGCACCCGCTCGTTAGCTGCGCCCGTCAGCGACCTTGGTCAGCGGGCTCGGGGAGGGGCAGCTGCAGTTCAAGGGGGAGTTGACCACCTTGTCCTTGACCTGTGTGCCCAGCAAATTGGAATTTTTCTACAGAACAGAAGAGAGTCAGTCGCAAAAAAATAATGGTTGTATCTAGATGTTTGGGAGTAGGACGGCTCTGGGAACTGCTTTGTTCTGATATGACTTACCCTGTGGTATTTGCAGAGAAAAATTGATCGTTCTCCCCTTATCATAAATAGTAGGGACATTTTCAGCTCCAATTAGAAACGCTCTAATTGTTGCTTGGACGAAGACCCCATTCCTTCTACATGCTGCACGGAGCTCAGAACCCCTTCCTGGAGTAGAAGCTGCAGTGAGAGAGGAATGCTCAGGTTCAGTGTCAGGAGAGTAGGCTCCAGAGTGACCAGGGCCATCCCCTGGTCGTCCCTTTGGTGACGGGAGGAGAAGCCCGCATTTGCTCTCTGTTCCCTGTGCTCCTCCACCTCTCTCGGAGCCCCTGGATTTTTGCGGCCTTCTCAGTCCAGGGTCTCAGAGCATCCCCAAGGGCAGAGGTTTCTGCCTGTGGAGCCCTCGTCCTTCTCTCCAAGGACTTGAGTGAGACTCCCCCTGGGCAAGCGGTTCCCCGGTGACAGAGGGAAGGAAGGAGGCTGAGGGGTTTCTTAGCCCTGAGGCACTGCAGGAAGGGTGGAGATGGCCTGGATCTGGGCTGGGCATCTTAGGAAGCACTGCGATTTGGGGGAAGAGAAAGCATTGTTAGGATTTGACAGAGCTCTGCTGGGGAGGCCTCCGCCGTCCAGGCTCTCCTGCCCCTTTCTAGCTGAACAGTTTGCAGGCTGCACGCTTGCTTTCAGACGCTTTGGTTTTGAAGCAGTCAATAAAAAAGCATCCTGCTGCCAGGGCCAACTGTCACAAAGGGAAGAGAGAGCATCGCAAACTGGGGGGGAACGCGCGCGAGAGAGATATTGCAGAGCGGACGTGTGGCTCTGCGGGCCTGACCCCGTGTGCCTTGTCTCCCCTGAAGGACCCCGTGGTTCAATGGATGGGGCTTCAACCTCCCCAGAGGGCAGTCTCTGCTGGACAAGTGGAACCTCATCCCCGAGGGCGTCGACATCCTCATGACGCACGGGCCTCCGCTAGGTAAGTGAGCAGAGGGGTCCTAGGTCACAGAGAACCCTTTCCTCCGAAGCTTAATGAGATAATGAGTAATGCTTCAGGGACATCATCATTTCCCTCCAAAAAAAAAGCGAATACAAAAAGAGAAGTCAATGTCTTTAAAGAAACCAGTATGATAATTAAACTCAGCAGTTCTGCTGGGCTTACAGGTGTTCTTGAAATTAAATTTTTTGATTTAGTTAAGTCAGGGAAAATCAAATGAGTGTGGAGCGCCCCAGTCTTTTGAGCTTGATAATTTATATTAAGAACGGTGTTCACTTGGGCGTGGGGTGGGGGTGGGGAATGGGAGGAACGCGTGGACCCCCCCAGGCCCGGGGCTTTCGAATGGCAATGAGACGATGGAAACTCTTGTTCAAAGGAGCTCATTTTCCTGCCTATATAGTGGTGAGACCTGGGAGATCTTTAAAGTTTAACGTTTGAGCTGATTAAAGGTGAAGAAACCCTTTTTCTTTTTTTTAAGCTAAAGCATTAGGTAAGGACATAAAGTCACAGACACTCATCCCACAGACGCGCTGGGCCTGCGTGCGGGGTTAGATGGCCCGTGCACTGCCGGGCTGCCCCATGGTGACTGTTTGACTTACGTGATTATCTCCTGATTGTCCGCGGGCTTGCTGTCTGTCTGGCTTGGCCACGGAACGTTTTTCAGCAGGACTGCGCCTGGACGCCCGTCCCCTGGGAATTCCTGGTGCCGCAGCCCTTCCTGTCCAGCGAAGGTGCACACAGGAAATTCAGACGCCTCACTCTTAGCAGGAGAGTTTTCTCTTTTTTTTTAATGCAGGAAAAAGCACACAACCCGAAATCTACTCTTAACAAAATTTTGAATGTACAGCACTAGCAAAGAGTTTGGAGCCTCTTAGTTTGGAGAGAGAGGAGATGCTTAATACAAAAATAAATGATTGTCGTGGTGTTTTCCTGGGTTGGGGTTGTTATCCTTGTCACTTCCCTCCTCTGTCAGCCTGAAAAATGCAAAATCTAGCTTGCATCCCTAATATGAATGTAGTCTTTGTAGATATTTTCCCTCCAAGCCACTCAGGGCTGCTCTCCATCCCCAGTGAGTGGCGTGCTATGTGTGCTCATGGAAACAGCGGAGGGGAGAGCCGGGGCTGAGCTGCGGTGGCACATTTTAGTGATGGAGGAAGCAGGAGAAGGGGGACCAGTTCTGTTGCAGACACGGAAATTGTACACATTTGCACAAGATCAGCACTTCCTGGTTTTTCCAACACTTCGAAGTCAGCATCTCCAGCTTTTTTCCCCAACTCCATCCCACCCCATCCCATGTTTCAAAAGACTATACTTATCAACAACCTTTATCAGGTCACAATTAGTTAATTTCCCTGTTTCACAATCATTAGAGACTAACTGAGTCATTAATTGCTAGCTGAACATTCTGATCAGCAGGACCCTGCAGACAGCATCCTGGCCAGCTTGGTCCTCCCTGCGCAGCCTCACAGGTGCACGCGTGAGTCCCCTGAGGCTGCTCACTGTGGGACCTGGACGTCCCCAGCACGGAAGCATTGACAGGACTCAAGCGTTGCTTGGATGTAACTTTGAACAGAACAGTTGATGCACAGACTTGTCAAGTCATTAATTTTGGTACAGAGGCAAGTGGCAGTAATAGGAAGTCTGAATTCTAGCCTCCAAAGAAATCAGACATTCCAGGGGCTCTTAATAGGGAGGCTGCATGGGAGAGATGGGGCAGCCCAGAGAATGGCTGTGCACAAGGCAGAGCAAGGACCACATCGTGGAGTTCCAGAGCGAGGGCAGGCACCGTGTTCCCAAGGCCCAGCTGGACCTTAGTCTGCGCAGATGTTGGGATTCTTCTAACAGTGCTGGGGGGAGGGGCGGGGGTTGGGGGCGTGGGGAGTCTCTCCTACTGGGAAGGGAAGCCTCCCCCACGTGGGACTTTGCTGTGATGGTATGAGGGAGATGCTTTCTTAGGTGATTGTATGTGAAATATTTCCCCCTTCCAGGAAAACACGTTCATGAGAGAATATGCCAGTCACCCGTGGATTAACCATTTTTTCCTCTAATTAACAGAGTTTTAAAGCCACTGGTTGGATTTTTTATAGGGCCCTCTCTTTCCTCTGCTGTTCTTCCAGACTTTCTGGCCACTCCCCACACCCCAGCTAACATGTCTTTACAGAGATGCTAAATCTTCATTTCTCCAGTTTCGCAGAGAGAGTGGAAGAAGCTTGTCTGTCCCTTTCTGCCCGATCTCGTTCCTAAATAGCAGAATCATCAGACGGAGCCATGGGACGGATTCCCACTGACCACGGTTTAGCCTTTCGTCTCACCTGCCTCTTTCCATCCCATCCTGGGAGGCGTAGGGATTCCATTTCGGACCATAATCATCCAGATAGCTGAATTTTGCTATAATTCATGTCAGTTTTTATGGATTTTCTGCATTAAGCGTAGAACTAAGTGGCTTTTACTTTAAAGGTAGTCAGTTAGTCCCGGCTTGCTGGATGCCACCACGAGGTCACATTGTTGCACGTCGCTAGGGAGCAGCCTGGGGCAGGAACCTGGTGTTCCCCTGCTGTGGTCCTCACAAACCACCCCAGTGAGGGCTGATGCACCTCAGGAGAGCGAGGGATCCTGTGGCCGGTTTACGGGCAGCCCCTCCGCACCCTTCTTCTTTGAACCACCTTGCAAGGAAACTGCTATAAGAAAGATATAATTAAAAAAGAGAAAGTGACTGAGTTGAGAGAGAAAGAGATATTAGGAAACTGCTAGGAATAAATGTCATTGGGCCCATGAAGAAGATTTGAAACCCATGGCTGAATAAATCAAATCCCTTACAGAAAAAAGAAAAAAAAAAATGTTAATTAACAGGAAGAAAAAAATGGAAACCAAAAAAAAAAATTTCAAGAACCCGAAGAAGACAAAGTGACACGTGAAAAGTCCCTTAAAAGCCATCGTGAGCTTTAATGGCGAGGCGGGGATTACAGATAACGTAATAAACCTCGTGTGAGTTACGGCTTCCGGAAAGTCTCAGTGAAGGCTTACCTGAAGAGGGGAATTAAGAGTATCGATTGCATTGCCCTTAGGTTTTCGAGACTGGGTGCCAAAGGAGCTGCAGAGGGTGGGCTGCGTGGAGCTCTTGAACACCGTGCAGCGGCGCGTCCGGCCCAAGCTCCACGTGTTCGGCGGCATCCACGAAGGTAAGACCAGAAGGGGGGCGCCCGCGGCGTGGGCCTGCCTGTGGTCTCCCCCAGGGGCCTTGGCCGAGCTGGGAACAAGGGAGCATGGCGCTCCGACTGCTTTGCCGGCGGCCCCCGCACAGGGTGACTTGGGAGGAGCATCCCATGCGTGGTGTGGCCGCTGCTCTCTGCTGAGCGGCCGAGCGGGAGCCAGGTGGGGCCCACATTGCGGGGGAGCCCCGGAGGCCCCCGGGCAGCTCTGGAAGCTCAGACTCTGAGGAGGGGTCTTGGTAACCACCTCACAGAGCAGCCCTGAGGTAGGGCTGGCAGATTGTCCCTTTAAGGGTGTTAAGAGAGGTGGCCTGGAGAGTGGACTGAATAGCTTCTGCGGCCTCCTCCCGCCTGTAGACGCTGCCTTGTGCAGGGATGCACTCAGGCCCCAGAAGGCAGACAGGACATCATCTGCGAAATAACTTGCACGCGGGGAAAGGCCGAGAGGAGAACTGGCGGGAGCCTGCACATCTGCCGGTGGGCCGTCCTTACCGACCTTGGGAAACCTGCGGCTTCTCAGAGGCCACCGTTGGCCGCACTGAGGGGGAAAGTGACTAATCTGCACTGTGACTGCCTTTCGGGCTAAGCTGGCGTCGAGTGCCAGGGCCGGGAGCCTCGCAGGAGCCCTGGGGCGCTGGGTTTCATGGCCATCCTCCTTCAGACCGGGGGTGACCAGGACCTGCTCCGCCCACAGCACAGGCCTGGGCACAGTGGGCTGACTTCCCCCCTCTCTGGAGTCACTCCCGTGAATCTGCAGGTGAGGGGTGTGGGCCTCTGTGCCTGATGGAGCAAAAAACAAAATTTGCTTTTCAAAGCCTGCACCCCCACTGGCCTCCTACTCAGGTGTAGAATGAAAAGCTCACTGAAATCTCCCCTAGGCCAGAGAAGACTCAGCTCGCTCCCAGGGCAGGCACGCTGAGGGGGTGGGAGCCGGGTGCAGCCCCCAACAGGGGTGTCGTCCTGCCCTGACTTGAGCTGTACCCCCTGACAAGGAGGGTTCGTCTCTAAGGCATGATGCCCCCTGGGGATCAGAGCTCACATCCACACGGCATTTCTGGGGCAGGTCTCAGGGTGGGTTCCTGCAACATGCCTCTCAGTTTGCATTTCTTCCTTTTTTTTCCCAATCATTAATTAGCTTTAAACTAGCCAGACAATTGGGGAATTCCACTGAAGTCCCAAAATAATAAACTTGCTTAAAAGGAAGGAGATCATATTCAAATAAACTTGTCTCGCTTTTATTCGCTTCAGACAGCTGAAGAGGGCAGAGAGAGGGCAAATACCAGCCTCTTGATGGAGAGAGATAACAAGACTTTATGACCCCAGAACTAAACAGTGCACGTTTTAAATGTCTCTTTTCTTTTCTTAAGAGATTTTTCCATTGACCCTCATTAAGCTTTCCACAGGCTTACTCAGAGAAATTTTAGCAAATGGAAAAAAACCCGGCCCTCATCAGTTGTTTCTGTAAGTCCTGGTGATTTTGTTTTTTCACAGACGTATTTCTCTATGCCGTAAGAGCAAGATAACCATGTAGAATGACCGACTTAATTGCTGAGACTATAAGGCAAATATAAGATGTCCAGAGAGATGTTGTGCAGATTTGCAAACATGCTGAAAATTTCAACAAATTAAAAATTATGAAAGGAACATACATCCCAGAGACCCGGGGAAACGTTCGTAGCTTTTTTCCAATAGGTCACAGAGATTTGCGTGGCACATGGGGGGCATTTTTGCTTGGTCCAGAGTCCAGGTAGCTTAGGAGGCAGCGTCCTCTGGTGATGTTTCTCCACCTCGCCAGGACCTGTGAAGACTTGGCTCTTGAATGACATGGTCTCAGCATGGAGGGCACACACTTCTTCAGATCAGATCCTCGGTTGTTAACCCTCATCCGGGCAGTTTGGTGATCATTCTGTAGCTAAGGAGGCTGCACAGGCCTCTCCCTCCTCCCAGGGCAGGGCGTCTGCCCCTCCTGTCAGAAGCCCACGTGGGGCTCGGATGGCGTGCCCTGGGGGAATGTCTTCTGTCACCCCTCTTGTTGCCTGGAACTCAATGGTTAACACAGGGCTCTGAAATGAAAATCAGATTTTAACAAAAGGGAAAAAAGTTTCTTTTGTATTCTCACTAGGAAAAAATCGCAGCCTTTCCCTGACAAATCTAGTATTTAAATAAGGAAAAAAGAATCCCTTTTATTTGAAGGAAAGGGTTCTCTCTTTAAAGAACATAGAATAAAATGGGGAGGCAGCATCTGGAAGCTGTTATATCTGGGGAAGCTCCTCTGCGTCGTTTCATCCGCCGCCCCCCCCCCGCCCCCAGCAGGGGTTTCTTGGTTTTCCTTGCCCGGCGGCCCTGCACTGAGTCACCGCCATGGGTATACGTGACAGTAAGTGCGGCTCTGTCTCTCCCCAGGTTACGGCATCATGACCGACGGGTACACCACGTACATCAATGCCTCCACGTGTACAGTCAGCTTCCAGCCGACCAACCCTCCAATTATATTTGACCTTCCAAACCCGCAGGGTTCCTGAAGCTCGACGTGCCCCATTGGAATGTGAGGGAAGATCTACAAACTGCCGTTTTTCTAATTATAAACTTACGTTCTCTTACTCGTTTATTTCCAAATCCTGTGAGTTCTTTTTGTAAATTGCTGGAACACAAATGATGCTAGAGGTTGTGCTTCTTCCTTGTTTTTTTTTTTAAAATGGGGCATCCATCTGAAATCAAAGGAGCGTTGTGAATTTGTAAAGTGACTTCTGTTTTCTCAAAGGCCATGCCGTTGTAAATTGTTAGTGTTCGCCAAAGGACAGCCAAGCTTTCTTTTTAAAAGGTGACAAAAGTCTAATTTTAATACGCTTTAAGCTGGAAGAAAATGAAAAGAAGAAACAGGTAGGCAGTGTTTTAAAAACCACCCAGATTTGCACAGCTGTTAGAGAGTGTTGTTTGAAGTATTTTATGTTTTGATGTTTTGTTGTTGTTTTCTTGGTAATGCTTCTTTTTTGCAGACGTGGCCCGGATTCATAGCAATCTTTGCAACAAAAGTAGACGTGGGAGAGCCGTCTCCACACTCCCTGTAAGGAAGGCTGTGTCAAGGGAGGAAATGGCCCTCGCTGAAAGGATGCTTAACTAGTGAGATCCACGCTGTCGTTAGCTTCATTGTTTGTTTGTTTCTTTTAAATTATTTTAGCTTTAAAAATATGGAAATGGAATCTGTCAAGAGCAGATATTTTACGCAGTAAGAAAAAAAAATGAGCGTGCAGACTCCTTTTCAATAGGGGTTTATATATATAAATATTTTTTGTGTATTATGACTAAGTTAGGAGTTGAATATTGCCAAGGACAGTACGACTGTAAGGGACGCTGTGTAGCGGGGCATCGGAAGTCCCAAGGAGCTGACGTTTCCTCAGATCTCAAGGTCTTAAAGAGCTTGAGTCAAATCTAGGTACAGTACAGGCGTGTACAGACGTGAATGGACTCAGCGGAAGCGAAAGAAAGTAAGGCTTAGTTGTCCTCTATATTTAAATACCCCGGATTGTCTTCTTGCTTCCTCCCCCCCATTTTGCACTGTGTGTCGATGCAATCTTCGCTAGCACAACATATTGTCGCTAATAGTCATTTCTGTTCTCCCGTTGTAAATGCTGTTGAGCTTTATTCTATTTTATGTTATCTTGCTAATGAAATTTAGGAAAGCAGTCGTTTCTTTAAATTTATTGTGATATTCTATATCTAGCGGCCTTTATATGCAAATAAACTTGCAAGATTTTTAAACCTGTGCTCTTTGGGGGGTGGCTAGTGGGAGGCTGGTGGCTCGGTCCTGGGGAGGAGGCATTTATTCCTACGCAATGTCAGGCTCCCCTTCAGAAGAATCAGAATAAGTGACTTTTTTTTTTCTAATTTTCAATAAATTTTTATCGCCCACCCTTCAGGGGCCAGCAGGTAGATTGAGGAGGCACTGGGTGTACGTTCCCTTCTGTCCACACAGTGTCATCTAACCTGCCGTAGATTTCAGAGGGGGAGACTTTGTCTTTGGCCCTTGTAGTTTCCACAGGAACAGAGCAAGCGTGCAGTGGGGCTGGAGACGCTGGTGTGCACATGCGTGTGGACGTGTTTGGACGTGAAAGGGTGGGCCCATGGGGATGGAGTACCACCCACACACTCTCAGTTGTCCCCAGGAGCAGTTGCTGTCTCCCCTCACTGCTGTTCCCACGATGTCCAGCGCTGCAATGCGGCAGCAGGCGGTAGGATGGGGAAGCTGTGTCCTCTTTCCTGTGGAAGAGCTGGCGAGGAAAAGCAGCATGGTCGTGAATCTGCGGTGTATCCCGGGTGTGCATCCCAGTGCCCACTGGACTGTATTCTGACACGTCTCCCTTCCTTCCTACCCATTGTGGATTCTTTGGTGTAATTCCTAAAAAGAATTCTTGATTTCGTACCAGCAGAGTAGAGAGAATATTCTAGGCAAGAATTCCAGCTCAGACTCACGTGTGATCATCTTGGGCCATCATAGTTGCTGATAGTCATTGAGGGTCTCTGCTGCCGCCCTGAGCCTGCAGTGGCCACTTTGGTCTGAGCTCACCGAGCAGATGCTCGAGCTTCCGTGCCAGAGGTGGTCCGTGAGCCCAGCAGCTAAGACAGGCCAGAGGAGGTACGGTGAGAGCTTAATAGCCCTCCTCTGGGCTGCTGCGTGGTAGAAGCGGGTGTTGGCCCCAGAGTCTTTCCTAGGGAGAGGAGGGCTGATTGGAAATTTCCTCTGGTTACTCTGCAAGGAGCTAGACTCAGACTTCCAGAAAAGCAGGCTTTCCAGAGACGGGTGGATCCTCCTGCTGACAGGTGGGTGTGCGCGGCCCTCGAGAGCACATCTGGACGCAAACTAATCAAGCCAAGCGCTTACCAGCATGGCTCCACGTGCGGAGGCAAGAGGGCGCAGCCTGCAGACTCCGCAGGGTGGGCTGGCTCATGCACAGAGCTTCCTTCGCAGGTCCTGTTCTCCGTTGCGTGTGCAGGAACTGCCCCTGGAGGCCGATGACTGTCTGGAGGCCTGCAGCTTTGCCCAGCGGAGGACAAGGGGCAGGGAAGCATCTGAGACAGCGCTCACAGGTGGGGCGCATCTCCCCTCCATCTCTGGCTATTGCTAGCAGGTCTCAGGTTTTGTTTCTCATCCTCACCAAACCCTCGGGGACGTCACGTAAGCCCCACTTGATAGATCAGAGACCAGGGCTCCCAAAGTTAAATAACTTCCCCAGGAAGACGGAAGGTTCAAAGCCAGGTCTGATGCCACAGCCCTGTCCATCGCGCCACCTCTGGATGAGAAATGCTGATGGTCAGGGGCTGATAAGACACCATGCCCGCCTGGGGCGTCTCCTGTCCCCCCCCTGGAGGCCCTGCGGCGTGGCCTTACGACAGCATCAAGTTGGACCCCTCCCCTCTGCCTGAGGCCCCGCACATGGAGGGGTGGATGAGAGCACAGAGCCTGGAGCCAGCGGCCTGCCCACATCCCGGTCGCACCGACCGGCACAGGTGCCTCTGTCTGGGCGCTCACAGTCGCTGTGAGATGGGGCCGTGATGATGGGGAAGGTGTCGTGGTTGTTATGTGATGTGTCATGTGATGCAGAGATCACGGCCTCGCGCCCAGTCAGTGGCGCACGGTGTTTGTTGACTGAGATTCCCCTGCTGCCCGAGACGCTCCAGGCAGGACCTGTCTGTGGGCTCAGAGCACCAGTGGCTTTATTTCCAGGAAAGTGTGTTTGTTTTCATTGCTTGGAAACATAAGGAACCTCTGTTCATAAGAATGTGAAGAACCCCGAGGGTATTCGCAAGAGGCAGATAAGGGGCCTGACTTTTCAGGCTGGGTGTCATATTTTGTGAAGTCCCTTCTAACCTCAGAATAGGAAGGGTCTGCACTCTTCCAGGCTGCTTCAAAGGGTGCCCGAGGATCTCAGCATCTCTCTCCCCTTGGAGTCTTTGCAGTCCATCTCACTGTCTCTTCAGGCTCAGCTAGTGGATTGTTTTCTCTGCATTTCCTCCCAATCCCCTTTGGTCTCGTAAAGATGTTGGGAGTTGCTGAAATCTCCTTCAGAGGCAGGTCACTGTTACTTGGACGGGTGGCCAGCCTTAAGCCTGCCTTCATCTCCATCACTTAAGTGAATAAACCCCGTGACCCAGGTCTCAAGTCGGGAGAAGCAGGAGCTGGGTTTGGGGTTTGTCGACTGCAGATGAAGCACCTGCTGCGCCCAGAGCAACACCCCTGCCCCAGTCCTCACCCAGCAAGGGCTTGCTCCTATGGCAGGGTCGACATGCATGCATTATTTTGGTTTCCCGGTATCTGTTCATGCCCTGTTCCCACTTCCCTAAAAGTTTTAAGGTGTTTTCTGTTTAATTATTAAACCGAAGTGAATTAAGGTCTGCTTTGTTTTGAGAATTTGGCTGTGAGCTGGGGCATCTGGAAACCGTGCTGGGCGCGGGGCAGGAGGATGTGGCGGTCCAGGACTGGGCAGGCTTGACAGGTGGCCTCACCTAAGGCTCCAGGCCCCCTTCCGGAGGTGGCTTCTCAGTGCCACTTCTCGATGAAGCCGCAGGATTGCCGTGGGCAGCCCGCTCTCCAGCGTGGCCTCCCAGAAGTTCAGAGCTGCCTTTGCAAGATGTCATTCCCACCTTGCTGCTCCTGTCCTGCCTTTGCCTGGAAGAGAAAACCACAGTGATTCAGAATCTTCTCTGAGAAGCCTCTGTCGTCCCTGCTGCCCATGTAAAGTCAGCCCGTGCTGCTCCTGAGAAGTTCAGAGAGGGTGAGTGGCACGCCTGTGGTCACACAGCAGTGAGAGATAGCCTCACTTTGGCATCTGGACTCTTAATTTTGAACACGAACTGCTTTTTCAGCTTGACATTCAGGAATAATCGAAGATGGGTAGATCAGTTTGGGCAGACATACTGTGGTTTTGTAGCATAGAACGAGCTGCTTATCTGGCTTGTTATTGTTAAACCTGATTATGGAAAGAAACCTCAGAACCTGCCCTGCTAGTGTGCCCCTGAGGGTTCACTTTCTTTCCCTTCAGCGACCGGCCACCCACAACTCTGGTGAGCACCCACTTCCTCCTCCTCTGAGAGATGAGGGCGCAGCTTCTGCCTTATCTCCCTCTGAACTTTGACCTCTTTGTCGTGCGTTTTGACACACGTGTGTGTGTTGGTCTGGGAGACATCCGGTGTCCGTAAGAGCCACCGCCCGTGGAATCAGACACGCTTGTTCTCACGTCTCAGCCACGCCATTTACCATCTGGGAGCCTCCGACCTCCTGCGTCACTTCTGTCGGCCTCGGACCCCACGCGTGTATAGTGGGGACAAGCCCTCCCTCACCGTGCATTTGTCAGAGTTGACGTGAGGACATCAGTAGGGGCCTGGGCCCAGTGAGCTGTTATAATACGGAAGGTTTTATTAGGCTGTCAATCATAATTTCTTAAAGCAAAAAAACCAAAAAACAAAAAAGCAACATTGAGCTTATTTTTCTGTGTTAATCAGAGCCCTTCGCGAGAGGAGGTGAATTCCTTGAGCTGGACCGAGTCAGGGTGTTGGAGCCACAAGCCCAGACTGTACTAAATGGAGCTCGTTAAGCTCCTGTCTCTGCGAACTGCCTGACAAGGCCTTTGTGGTGGGTTCCTCGGACTCCTCATTTCCTTCCTGAATTAGGGATGCATCACAAGACAATGGCCTTGAGGTGAAAGGCCCCAGCGTCTGTGTCTGGGTAACTAATGGGAGAGGAGAAGAGCGTTTCAGTTAGCCCGCGGACCCACAGAGGTACTGAAAGCACGGCAGACTGAGCGCTTGGAGGTGGAGCCGGCCCCCGTCAGTCAGCTCTGAATTTTATGAAGCCACAGTTAGCACGAGGCGCATCCGCAGGCTCTCAGCCTGCTCACCAAGGAAGAGGGCCTGTGGCTTCCTAGCCCGCTTCTGCCCCGACCTTAGTGGATGACCTTGAGATTAGGTTGAGCTCTTCAGTAGAAGCTCCTGAAATAGCAAATGACTTGGAACCCAAATGCTCCCTGCCTGGACTGTGCTGCACGCCCTTACACTCCGGCTGTAAGCTCAGGTGACGGCTGCTTCATCCTCTGAGGGAGTCATACGTCCTGTTCGCCTGCCCTGAACCCCATACCTGTACCCAGAACACCCTCGCATGGTGCTACCACACCGGCCTCTGCCTGCACCACGGTCTGATTGTTGCTTGTCTGCCCAGGAGCTCCCAGGGTCAGCCACCAGGTCTTCCATCTCTGCTTTCTCAGCTTCCAAGTCTGAAGAAATGCTTGCTTAATGAATTAATCAGTGCTTGGCAGACAAGGGCCAGGTGTGTGAGGAACAGGGGCGAGAGTAATCACAGGTGAAATCAACAGATGTTTACTGAACACCCTCAGCCCCACGCTGCCCTAGGAAGCCTCATTTGTGAGACTCAGTTCTTGCCCAGAAAGGAAGGGCCTTACAACTTGGTGAGGAAAACGAGATATAGACACATGACGCTAAATAGCAATAGGAGATTTAAAGAATAGTTCAAGACAGCAGCAAAATCGGGGTCTGCGATGCTGCAGAAGTGCGAGCTGGGGGTGTGAGTCTCAGACAAGCATAGGCAGCTACCCTCCTCCTTCCAAGGGCTAATGATAACGTCCATCCCAAGCAGCTTCATTGCTGGAGCAGAAAAACCGGTCTGGCCAGTGGCAATTCCAAGTGGGTCACGTAGCCGGTTTGTTTTCTTAATTTACTCTGTGAAATGGTTTTCTCTAATGGCTTGCCAT